ACTGGAACTGCCTTGAACTGTGGTCATGATGGATGCTGTGATGGATAAGGCACTTTATTGTAAAACAGCGGGACTCTGCACCTGGATCGAAAGAACAAAGGTCAGGCAAGACTGTAGTCACATCGAAGGGATAGGAAAAAGCTTTGTAAAGTAGCAAAAAATTGTATTATTGCGTCCTCCCTCTTCTTACCTTCTCCTTTGCTTTTCCTGAATGAATAATGAAATTCTTACGTCTACATTGTTGTCTTCGTGTAAGACGATTGCAGAGATATGCTCCTGGGATGTGGTTGATACTTTTCCGTCTTCTGACTCCTGATGAAGTCATCTCTCCCTCTTTTATTTCAGCTGTTTCCTTCGTTTCCCATTTGTCACCCCTTTCTACTGCAGTTCAGTCCATCTGTTTTTTACTTTAGCTTCCCAATTCTTTCCATTTTTCCAGAAGTACGGTTACCACTACCACCTACTTATCGGAACGGCGTACCACTCCCTTGTAAAGTGCTTCGAAAAGTGTGTAATGCTCTTTATATCTCCGAATATGACGATCGTGTCATGGGCAACCTGACCTCTTTGAGAGCCTCTCGAGCACCGAATGCTGGGAATATTTTACAGAAGAATGTAGAAGGCTATCAAATGAAATCCCCATCAACACCATTCCCCGTGCACCCATACCCTTGAATGCCCTTGAAATTGTAATAGTGCTGCTATTCACGGGAAATACACGGATAGAAACACGTGAACATCCCACACCATCCGCTCTCCTTTTGTGTCGTCAATTGCTTCATAAGGGATCAAAGACAGTTCTCGACTGCAATGACACGTATGTTGGTTCATGCAACTGTCATGGACAGTGCCTCTTGAGAGTTCTTTATTTTTTTAGCTTCTAATTTCCTTCGGGTAAGAATAATCAGGGTAGGATGGCTGTGAAGTGAAACCGTCTCTCCAGCTTGACCGCTCTTTTTAGAGCTGGGTTTATATTGGTAGCGTTTGAGATTCGATATATAAAATCGAACTGTTAGTGACAGACACTGACAAATGGCGTGATTATGATGAGATATGAGAGACGGGCCAGTTTAGAGAAAGTGACGTCATTCCTTTCACGAGTAGGTGGGTGAAATGGTGGACGAGGTGATCTAGAGATACCCCCTTTGCTAGATCAGACCAGATTCGAGGTTCCAAATCGGCTTGCACGCGCCTTCGAAAGAGGTTCATTCTTTTAAGTCTCTCTCAGTGCCCTTCTCACTCGGTGGACTAGATTCCTTTTCAGAAGAGGTCTCTGGACATCTAGCTCCAAGCCCATGTTTGAAGGGTTGCTATCACCAAGAACAGCAGAAAAACTCCCGAAAACGGAGGCAGTATTCTAGAGATGGGTATGAAGCCGACTCCAGGACCCTTTTTCCTGAAAGTTTAGTGAAATAAAAACGCCAATGTACCACTTATTGGTCTTGACAGATCATACCTCTCCGATTTCCAGTGAGAGTAAACATGGTAGTGGCATGGGTATGAAAATGTCACCCTTTTTTTAAAGGCTCACCAGCGAGGGCCCCTTTTTTACCTAGTTTTACGCCCTTTGCGGTCAATTTTCACGAAATGCCCAACAAGTAGTTACTACTTCTCAAGACAAGTATGAGCTTTGAAGAAAAGGTGCAGTTGATATTCCCGCTGATGCCACTTCACCTAGCTGTTCCCAATAACTCGGACTGACCTGTCGATGAGCAAACGACAGGACGACACGTGCTTGGGCCACTTCCACGTGCTAGTGCCGACAATTTCACGGAAGCCTTATGTGCAGGGGTCGGGAGCTCGTTTCCGGATGTGACCAGAAGAAGTTTACAACTACACTCTTCTCTTTCTCTGCTCTACTCCCAGTTGAATCAAATTGGATGAACACGATTGCAAGATTGCTATTCGTTTCGAATCATATGAATGTGATCGGGTTTACTTAATCTGACAGCAATGGCCTTGAAAAGAACTCGTCTGTGACGTAGTAATCGACATAGCACAAACCACAACGTCACTGCCTTTCCCTATATCAGAGATCTCCTTTCAATCGACCAAACTTTTTCAGGTGAACTTCCAGGAAACCTTGTTGGCTGAGCTAGCACTTATGAGCTTGAGAACTGCGGGTTCAAACTGCCGAGTTCGAAGGCAATATGGGGAGCGGCTTCATGAAAACTTTACTTACTATTCAGAATGTTCCCTTAGAAGGAGGAGGCGCCCGTCCCAGAAAAGTCTTGATATCCGGGAGACGGAAGGAACGAGGAAGAGGAACGTAATCGATTGTAATCGATTCGCCGCACGCGGCTGTCGCGGACCATTCGTTGACCGTTATTACAGCTCTGACGTTCTTCACATAGCTCAGTCGATATGCGAACATTATTTTAGGCATGATTCTACTGATAGTTCTTTTGTTCCTGCATTTCTTACCTGCTGCAGCACTCTGCTGCAATCCTTCGCGCGCGGCGTCCCTCTCGCCGCGACGCGGCAATTCCGTTTCTACTGCACCACACCCTTGATATTCAGCTAGTATCGCGATTAAGCAGCTCAAGACACGACGACAACCACCTCAGCAACTCCCACTTCCCATATAATAATCCATACCCAGACGATTCTAATACCTACTTGACTCAACTTTATATGGGACCGCACAGCTCGTGGCCATCTTGAGCTCCACATAATGTATTTGCCACTCACTGACTTTCTTGTGGTCTTCTAGAGCTCCATGACATATAATATTTGCCGCTTGCTGACTTTCAATGCTGGTATTTACTGCCTTTGACAAAAGCAAATACAACAAAGTTGTTTACCAAATCCTTAGCATTCATCGCTTTCGGCAATGTAGGCTAGTCAGACTAACGCAGATGGTCCCTCCAAACAATCTCGAGATTTATACTATTACTGATCCTTACTGTTTAAAATATCGGGTAGTTATTAGGAAGAGTCATAAGTCCTCGGACAAAATGATAGTGATGACTTCTAGAGATCATAACTCGGGAAAGAGGTGACGTAAATGGACGTGCGTGACATTGTTAGATAGTGTATGAAAAGCTCTTCAAAATACATATTAACGACTACACCTAACTACTCCCTTTCCTGAAACCATGCCTCATAATTTCAACTCCACCTCCGCAACACCATCCTTTTTTTTAACTGGCCTAGTATCCGCGGAGATCGATAGACGTATTAAGGAAGTTTACAAGAAGGGTGC